GACCAACAATTTGGACACAAGAATTTTAAATAGTCATTTGAATTGACAAAATATTCAGGGTCATTTCCTCATACAGTATGCAGGTATATCTATAACTTTAATCAGTTCAGTGGAACTGTTTTCACATTGACAGTCTAACAAGGTGAAGCTTTTTTTCAAGATCAGGGTTTTCAGTGTGTTTAGATTTTGCTTTGTAGTCATAAAACAGATACTTCAGATGTTATTAGCAATTAATTCATATTCCATTTTGTACATTCCCTATTTTACAAGACATATAGGAAACTTCCGGTCTTCACTGGGAAATATTTGAAAATGCAAGGCATGATTTTTTTCTAGAACCTGTTTTATGTCACTTAATTATTTAATTGCTAAGCAGTGACAAATGGAAATGAGAACAGGGCTGAAATACCTGGAGACCTGAATTGACCTTAATGGCTATGCTACTCTTTTTCCATCTCTAGCAAAACTGTTTCAATGAACAAAGGAACTAACTGTTAGAAATAAGGTTGATAGCATTATCACAAGCAGAAATTCTCTGTGCATAAGCATGCTTGTTTTACAGCACTTTTGACAAGTACTACTGTTAAAATACCTTTGGGGTATGGCTGAGGATTTGAAATAAAACCCTATTTAATTAGCCTGTTCAATTTTATGTTAAATGAAGAGGAAATATATTGTTATTAACAACCTTATATTTTAAGTTTTTAAGTTTAAATTTTACTTCCAGATAATGTAGAACCTAATGCCGTCCATTTATAAAATGCTAGCATTCAGATTGAAATAACATTTAACTTCTAAAATATGACTAAAGTCCTATAGCAAAACTAAGAAGACATTTGGAAATGCAGTAAAAGGTGCAAAGTTATGTTTTCTCCATTTTCTAGGTTATTGACTATTCTAGGTGATTGACAGTACTTAATATGCTGCCCAATGTGTATATTCTTAAAATAAATAGTAGATTTTCATTCAGTTCCTGGTGAAAAAAATATCTCCGTAAAATATAGTGAGATAATTTGTGCTCACTACTTCTCCTGTTGGCAGTTTCAGTAAAGGCCAGGAACTAAAGGGATACTGAGACTAAATTTCTTTYCTGAGTTTGAAAGGTACTCATGCAGGTGAAAGGTGTGGGACATTACTAGGCAGTGCTCTGACTTAACAATGTGTGGATAATGGCAAAAAATACTTTTATTTGTGTGCCCTAAAAGCACTGTCAGCTTTCAAACACAGAACTGAAAAGGGGGATATGCTGATTAAAAGATATATGTAAAACAACTAATTCTTACCTAGAAAAAGGAATGGTGCCCAGAATTGGCTCTAGGACAATCTAATCATTATTGTCAATAGAGAACTTCAAAGAGAAAATTCTGGATAAAATTTGAATAGTTCTTTTGGATTAGACACAAAGGAATAGGAAAGAAAATTAAAGTTATCTTAATTGGAACAAGTAGAAGCTTTATTCTTTTTGGGCTCAAATGCTCACTGCTGTTGCTAGAAAGAAATTTTGGCAATTCGGATTTCCATGCAGCATTGTCTCCTTTAATTATGTAGATTACCCATGCAGACTCTAAAATGCTACTAGGGTTTTTGGTAGACAAAGTCGATTTTTCTAATGAAAAATGCTGTATATATCCTTTGCACAACTATTCTGCTACTAAGTGTGTTATGGAGTTCTGCACACAAAAGAACTCGGATGTTTTCTCTTCCACAACTGCAGCTGTCACTGCAGTAATGCTAGGTCTCCTTTCCTTTGTATTCCTTTCATAAATCTCTCTGTTCAGGTTAGCATTCCTACAACACATCCTCTTGAAGTAACTAAACCACCAAAGGTACTAAGTGCTTGATAGTTTAGTAAACAACAGTGAACACGATTTTGATTAAAGATTAGATCTTGGTGTGAGAATCAATAATACTGTTATTTTTTAGGTACAAGTTAAAGATGTCATTTGCAAAGCGTGAAGCAATATGTATTGTGGAGAGAATCTTTTCCTTTTTGTTTTAATTGTAATTACCAGGGAATGAGCTTTTGTAAGTGGAAATTTGCCTACAGCTCCAATAAACCTTACTTAGGTGACAGCTTTTTTACCATCGCTTTAAGCACAAGAATGTCTGTTACACTTAACATCTGGATCTGTCACAGCAAAAGCATGAGCAGAGCAACCAGTGGTAAGGGCTTGATGGCAGTTTTTGTTATTAAAAAAAAAAAAGAAGAGTAATATTCAACTTGTCAGGCTTTCAAAAATAAACAAACCAAAAAAACCCAAACAACTTTTTGTCTGATTTGCAGCCAGTGTTCACAGAACAAAGTGGATGCGTAATTGCATAACTTCATCCATACAGAAAATATTTCTCTTAAATGTAAAAAAATTCTCTTAAAAAGCATGTTGATCATCATCAACTCACACAATTCCAAATATTTATCAGAAAAGAGAAACAATGGAGATATAGATGAAATCTGATCGGATTTTGGTTTTTCTTGGAATTCTTTCTTTGCACTCCAAAAACTTGTGTCTTTATGTCACTCTGGATCTCTCCTTTGAGGAGTGATAAACTAAAGGCGATTCAGAGGTTTATTTTGTCTTCGTTTTGCCTAAGACCAATCATTTTTGGTCATGAAAGAATGAAATAAATTTTCTTCACATGTTTATTTAGTTTACAACACATGTAAACTAAATTTATTTAAATGTGATTAATAAATCACATGTTTATTTAGTTAACAGAAGAATGAGATATGACTGACAGTGTTCAACAAATTAATAGTTAAGGGAATTATTACGGTCATTTTAGCTTGCTGTCAAAATAGATAAAATATACTTATTTCCTTCCCAAACAGTTACTTTGGGGGGTTGCTTCTCTCAGTGGATAGTACAGTTTCATTTCAGACTGAAGTAAGAATAAAGATATCCCTTCTGGTGGATGGAGACCTTCTTATATTTAATTACTACTTTCAGAAGGAGAGATGTGCCCATGTATGTTTCTAATGACATTCAGTAAATTTCAATGAGGATTAATCTAATGGGGTAAGGTCTTTGATATTTCTGTTCTGGAAAGGAATTTTTTCTGTCTTCTTCCACTTGCCCTCATGCCAGTCAGTAGATATTTTTGGTTCATCCAAGCCTACCTTTCTATTCTCTTGTCAGAGTGAAAACAGAAATGTCTTGACATTTAAATAAGTTAGGAATGGAAGCAAATGAAGTATAGGCTGACAGTCACTTGTGTGAGCAGTGTTATAAAGGCGGTGTCTGACAATTCATTTAGTTATTTCTTATAAGTTGTGTGGAATTTCATTATTTTAACAAACATTATTGTCACAAACTCTTGTTGAAATAGCTAGTTAAGTCTAGTAGATTATGGTAACAGTTTAGTTATACCAGACCAATGAAAAGAGTCAACAAAGAAATCATTATGATACAAATAAATCTTTGTAATTCCTTTGTGATTTGTCTGTGTTATCGTATAAAAGRCAGGAAAAATCCTATGCTCAGGTTCACTGGGGTTAATTCGATGACTTTTATATTTTTTTTTCTGAAAATAGGACTAGTATGTCCAGATATACCCTCTTGATGAATCTGAGGGTTTCCTGTGGTAGAAGTGAGATCATGGCTGTATTGTTATTAAAAAGTCTAAAAAAAATCTATTTTTATACAAAATAATTACAATATATTAAATTAGCTTTACTTTGTTAAAGTTTGAATGGCTTTGGCAATTTCCTAGACTGAGAGCTTTTTTCAGTGATTAAAAATACAGCATGGAAGATGCTTTGCTTGCATCCTTCCTGCTTCCACTGCAGGAATCTTGTAATTTCAAACTTCAGATTTTAAAAGAGCTTGAAAGCTAAATGTAATATATAATGATTTCAAATCTCATACAGCTCCATTTATACAGTAATTTATAGGCAGTGAACTCAAGAACAGAGCAGTTTCTCTTGTTTTTAACTTTCAGAAATGAACTGTTGTAGCTGACTTTTCATTTTTGGTGCAGTTTCTGAAAAGCCAGAGTAGGATTAAGCCATCTTTGAGTGGCAGAAGAAGAAGTACAAGAGTGGTAGGAGTATCTTTTATAGGAAATAGAAAAAATTCACATTCCTCACACACATTTTAAAAAACAATTGCAAAAAAATAGAGCATGACTTCTATGAAAGCAATAAGAAGAGTCAATTGATTGCAGCTGACAAGATTGTTAATGCAAAATTAACTACATTGGACTAAAATTAGAAACTAASTTTTAAAAGTCCTTGAACTTTGTGAGCTTCATTTTTCCTCTGTTAACATAGCATGGTTGTTTGATTTACTTTTCATCAATGGGAAGATAGAGTTAAATGACTGTAAATTCTATTTCCAAACTCATTCACATAAACTGATTTCTTTCTACTCAGAAAAGTTCAAACCTCTTTCTATGGGACAAATTTTAATTAGTTCAGCATGCCATTTGACCACAGTAAATTGTTTATGAACCAAGGATTTTTACTTGAAATTGGTAAGCATATTTTGGGCGTGTGATTTTTGTTAAATGTTATGAGTTACACTGCTACAACCTACTTTATGAAAGGCTTTGTAAAAATAAAGTGTATTTCTTACTATTAAAATATTAATATATATGCTGGGCAAGTATAAGCATTTGGAGGTAAGGACATTCTAACAGTCATGTTATCTGTGCAGAATGATGGTTATAGCAGCATCCTCCTAGAAAATATATTAACACTAATAGAAGAATGTAAAGAGGATTTGTCTCAAATCATTTTCTGTTCTTTCACAATGATCCCCAGATGCAGCACTAATATTAATAAGATATGGAACTTTATCTTTACTGTATATTTGATTAAAACCACTTGAATTAATTTCAGTACCCTGCCATTCAGACCTCCTTTAGCTACTATTTCATTTTTAACAATAGTGTAATTAGTCTTTCATCTCTGTTCAGAACTTTGTAAATAAGACAGATGTGTAAAAGCATGCACATTTGCATAACTTTGCAGCACGCATGGTAAATGCATGGTCACTTACTGCCTTGATGCTTTCAAAGTGTCCGCCTTGTTTCTCGAAGTCAATAGGCTGCCCATTGAGTGTCCAATAGAAAGTGACATCGAGAGTGTTGTCGTGAATGGCTTTGCAGCTGAGGACAATGCTTTCCCCAACTGTTAGCTCTGTCTTCTTGGGAGTCAGCTCTATTCTTGTAGGTTCTTGAAAATGCAGAAAAGTTAGCAACATTTAAATAGAGATACTGTCATCTGTAACATCTATATCACATGCGATTGAGCTATGCTCAAACCAGCTATTCATAGTTGATTTCAAATACATAGTGCTGAGTGCTGAACTCAGTTCATAACATACACTGAGAAATGGTGGTTATGAGAAGGGGTAAAGTCCATTTTGTGGAAGAAACAGAGTAGGATTTTAAACAATAATAGTAGAAATTGGGGAAGGGATTAAATAATTAATTTTATTAGTCTCCAAAAAAGCTATCTTTTTTTTTTTTTTTATTTTAAGTCTCTAGCACTTGGCAATTTTTAGCATTGTTCCTACAAACAAATAAGAAAAAAAATACAAAAAATGAAATTTCCAGGTGTACTTTATATAGCAAAATGCTTAAGAAATGAAGCCAAAAGGCCCAAAACCTAAAATCAAAACCAGTGATCATATTCTCTTTGAAAGTGGTAAAAATGTGACTTAGATATTAATTGTAACTTAACGATTTAAATTTAAGTACTCTACTAAAGGACTAATTTGTTTATTTCTTCTTACAATTTCTAGCAATACTATTATTGGTTTATTGCTAAATTTCTATTTGACCAAACGGAGTTAGCTGGCTAGCTTGTGTCTATGCAATCCTGTTGTATTCTGCTAGGGTTTCTAAACAGTCATGAAATATTAGAAATAATTAATCACCATTATCATCAAAATATTTTGCATACCTTTTACAGATACTGATGCAACAATTTCTGCAGACCCAAATACATTTTCACCTTGGCATACATATCGTCCTTCATCAGATTTGGAAGCATTCAGGATTCTCAGACTCCCAGATGGAAGAATAGTTACCCTAAAAATAACAGATACATAAATATATAAATATATCCCCAGTTTTAGCAGCCAAACTCCATGCTGCTATCTTTTAAAGCTAATAAATAAGATTAAGGACTACTGCTTCTGTAACTAGGGAAGATGAAGATGATAATTGAATTCTTTTCTGTTTCCAAAGGGCTGTAATGAACCTATTTTATTTCTGCTCTTTCCTTAATTCAAAAAGTCTCAGGGAGGGATCAGTGGATTAGTATTCTCTGACACTTATCAGCAGTGAATGTTAATGAATCTTTTGTAAAAAGTAAAAAAAAAAGGTGATTCTCCATAATTTGTCTTTAAGCTTCACTACTACATTATTGTGAAATCGTATTTCAATATCAAGCATTACTTATTCCTCTTGAAACAAAAAAAGACCTTAAAAATTAAATGTAAGAGGAAAGAGAAGTACAATGTAAAACAGAGTTAGAAGAAAAGCCTAAAATTAATTGTATCTGGTCTAAATATGATTTATGGCATTATCATACAAAGTGTAGTATAAGGATTTAAATGATTTCTGCTTTTTTTTTTTTTTTTTTTTTTTTTTTTTTTTTGTAGTTCAGTTTATATATATTTTCGGGAGTCCTGTATCTGCTCCGTCTCTGGATGAGCAACGCAATGGAAGCATACAGATGAAAAATGCTGTCTAGACATTTGCATTTAAAAGGCTGACACTTTGGCTTTGTTTATATYGTCTCAGTCACAGAGACCATGAAACTTCATAGATATGAAACTGAACTCACTTCGGCTGTTTAAAAATAGTGAAGTTGCAAATGTATTTTATGGTAAAGCTGCTGCCCAAGAAGGCATGTAAATACGTAGTCCTTCTCTACTGCAGAGAAAGGAACTTCAAGTCTACTTGGGATATGGCACCTACTAAGCAGCATCTAGGCAGAGTCCTATTTGCAGATGCTGTTCTCCCAGTACCAGGCTGGATGTTGGCTTTGGGGTCTCTTGCAGGACATGGCAGATATGCATTTGAAGTCCTCAGCAAGATATTACTTGGCAAGTGCTCAAAGGTATCATACAGAAGTGAAGGGGGAGCTGAAAGAGGAGCTTCCTTCTTATGCATTTTGAAAGTCAGGTAAGATCTCTGTCACAGAAAGCATCTAAATCGGTGGGTGACTCTGCTCCAGGGATGATTGGATTTAAGGACATATTTTTGTAGTCAGGCCTTTCTATTGGTTAATGCAGTGAGTAGCATTCCTTCTGCTGCTAATGTTAATGCTAATGATAATCCCATAGTGAAGCTATCCTCCAAAACCAAGTGAGGACCAATATCTTGGTTTTCTCTTGGAAGAGAAGTGCTCAAGTATGAAGTAAGGAGCCTTCTTCATCCTGATTAACAGGTCTGGGTTGGTCTCTCCAGCAGATAAAAAAAGAGAAGGAATTCCCTTTTGAGGTCTAATATTACAATACGAAGCTGAGTTACCCTTGATATATACTAGGAATGATTTACTAAATGCTTTGGATACAATAACAAGTACAAATCAAATCCCTAATGTAAGGATCTATAACTTTTTTTTTTCTGGAAAAAAAAATACCCAACACTCTCAGATCCTGCTTGTGAAAAATGACATTTTATTATCTGGTTTATAAAAATTGTGGTGGAGAGACAAGATTTCATTTTAGTGACAAATGTACTTCTATTCACTTCAGATGTAAAAGCCGTCATTGCTCTCAGCAGTGAGACAGAAGAAAATAACAGCTTTGAAAGTGAATAGGAGCAGAGGAAGGACATGTCAGCTTCCTAGTTCCCTGCTGCCATCGGATGATGTATCTTCTATTTTGATTTAAACACATACTTATTGGTATTTGAGTCATGTTATTTGTCTAAAGGTAATGTTATAGAAGACAATTATATCAGATAAATGCTTTTACACCAGAGTTTTTTTTTTTTCTTTTTTTTAAATGAGCTGATCTCAAATTTTGTTTAGATATGTTGCATCTTTTAAGAAAGATCTGGCTTAGGAACCGATGGCATAACTTTCCTTCCTTTATGCTAGAGGGCTTTTGTATTTTCCCTCTCAGGTTTCTCTATGATCAATGTTTTAGTACACTGTGTAATCTGTATAACAATAGTCTTTGCAGAACAGTGATAGCTTTCCTCAATGTGCTGTCAACATTAGACAAATGAAAGGCAACTTGTACAGTGTTTACAAATTATAAAAGCTTATACACAGAGAAAGTCCTGATATAAAACAGTTTTTCAATTTGAGCTTGGAGGAAAAGAAAGTAAAATGTATATGGAAGATTATCTGATGAATCTTATGCACATTATCAGATACATTCCTATTTAGCTAAAAGCTCTTGCTATACATGAGAAAAAAAAAGTAATCAGTCAAAGGAATTGCAAACACATTCACTGGTGAATCATTTGACTTAGAAATTAATACTTCCTTTAAATGCCTAGCATTCATTTCTTCTTTCTTTTCCTTGTCTTTGGGAAGAATGCCAGACACTAGTTATGTTGGAAACTGAACAGCTTTCTTTATTCACAAAACGTGCTGCACACAGCAGGAATACAGTCTTCTCCTCCCTCTCTGCCAATATCTTTCAGTCTTAGAGAGACCACTTGCCTAGTATGTTTATGTATTTTAATAAGGAAATTACACAGTAGAATGTTTTTTAGCTTCTAGAGTTAGGGATAATTGAACAAGTCATGAAAAATACTAAATTATTAATTTATTAATAATGATAGATAATGATGATAGAGGAAAAGATGGATGATAGAGAAAGGATGGATGAGGGGTAACGGTGACAGTTTTTTGATTGCTGTTTTAAGTACATGGAAAAATTATTGTAATCACAGCAATGAGATGGATGTTGTCCATTCTAAAAACATGAAAGAACTTTTATCTCTGCAGAATTTTCATATATTTAATAATACCAAGAAAAAAAAAGAAATGAGGGATAATGTCTTAGAATCAATAGAAATTTGGTTTAACATCAATGGCAAGCAATGTTTCTAGCAACATTTTAGTGAAAAGAATAATAAATATACAGCAACAAATAGACTTCAGATTAAGTGCAGCTTAATTTAACTACAGTACACTGAGGTAGACTGGGATACAAAAAAATCAGATGCTAGAAACTGAAGATGAATCAAACATTACTGGCATGGGAAGATCAGAACATCAGACAGAAGGACTTTGATGATTTTGAGTACCAGACTCATAGAAAAATAATGTGGCTCTGAGTTTCCTGTACTACTTAGCAAAGACAGACACAATCTCAGAATATGTAAGATGTGACCCTTGTAGCTGGTTATGGAAGTATTAATAGATGGAGCAGATGGGGGGTAGAGAAAACATAATTGCTAAAAAGTCATAGCCATGATTAATGTGATGTTATATATAACTAAATATTCTCTTTTAAGACTTCAAGATTGGTCTTATCAATGGACAGTAATTAACTTTTTCACATATTACTTCCAACTGTTTATTTTCACTGTAAAAATATTTGCAATATGTTGAGTGAAAGCTATTGTTTAGCAAAACCACTTAAGATTGGAAATGTTTTAGTTCTTTTTTTTTTAATCAAAAAGTATCATATCACACAGTTCTGTCATTTCACTAGTTTTATTTATTTTTCATCAATGAAGCATGTTTGTGGTAGGGCAAGATCTCAGAAAAGGAATGCACTATTTAATCTAGAAGGATGAAAGCTCAGACTTTTTGCGTAAGAGATACTGGAAAAGTATTCTCTGAGACCAGGTTTCTGTAGAGTAGCTGATGAACGTAAACTGAGATCATAAGAAATGTAGGATCTTTGCTTATAGATGGCATTTGGAAGTACTTTATTTGATATCCAGAGATACTTTCTAATAGTTAGTGCCAAGTCATAGAGAGGTCAGTAAAACAATAGTTTTACTGTTGTTTTGAGTAAGGTAGAAAGTAGGGGTGAATGACAAAGATTTGGTTCCCTCAGGCTGGTGAAGTTTTAGGAAAAGGACCGAGTACAACACAGTATTTCACACACTCATGTGAGAAGTGTGAGTGTGACAGGATTTTTAGGAAGATGCTGAAGATGCCTATATTGCATAGTATTTTTGATTGAAATGTAGCTTTTTTTTTCTTTCAACCTTACTTTTTTATACTCATAAAACTTTTGAGATGGATGGTAACCTTTTGTCTTGTTCTGAAAAGAGAATGATGGGTCATCATCATCCTGATATATAAACCATAGACTTATTCTTCCTGCCAGTGTTGATGATTTTTTTTTTTTGCCTTCCAGTACTATCCTAAGAATAAATGAAATTTATTACCTGTCTGGATTCTCTTACTGCCCAACTGTCTTATAGACAAAATAAACTTCCATCGGAATTTGGTACCATCACCTAAGGAAATTTTCAGATACTATTGAGATCCTATAGAGGTCACACTGTTTTAGATGACAGAAAAATCTCAGCTTTATCACCAACGGCAGTTTTACCTTCACCTTCTGGGTCAAGGTTTCACATTTGTGCTTCCTATCACATGTGAAATCAGTGAGCGGAGACTTTCATCAAGATTAAGATAATAAGAAGGTGGAAGCCTGATTTTTATTCTGCTTTATCATTCATAATAGAGTCTCAAATGCAGATGTACTGATAACGTGTCTAGAATTTATTTAAAATTCTATGACAGACTCTTGAGATCATGAATAGTTGAAGACAGTGAAAGTTACAATTGTTACACAAATTTCAAGAATTTACTCAATATTTGTAATGATGGATAGAGCTTTGGRTCATAACAGAAATGAAAGCTAGACAGCTTACACTCAGAATTTTACATTCTTTAAAAACAGCTATAAAATTAAAATGCTATAGGCATATTGTATGGAAATTTTCTTTTTGAGTAGGAAGAAGTAGTAATGAGTAATGGTACTCTTGATTTGGCTGCATACATATTTCCCTATTTATATTCTTAATTTGTCCTTTTGTGCATTTAGTTTTTCACTGAAGAAGTTTTTTAAATAGGACTTTAGAAGAACAATCAAAGC